ATTTTTTAACGTTTATCATCGTGTCACAATCTGAAAATATTGCTGAAACATTAACTTATTCGTCACTTTTATTATTAATAACGAAAAACTGTTCAAAGAAATTTGCAAAATCATTTTTTGAATTGTCAATTTTTCAGTGCCATTTTCCACGAAAATTTTCGCCGAAATCTCGCAAGCATCATTCTGATTAGGGAGTCAGTGTTATTATAATGTTGACTTTAATATTAAATGAAACAGTATGAATACTTACTAAATGATATTTGCTCTGAATATTCGAATCAGCTGCGATGTTATAGAGTGGTAAGACATGTGCTTGTTTGAATCAAACCTATTGATACTTGTACGGAAGGTATTACACTTACCACTACTGTAATGACTGCTGCATTCCACATCGAGGAGATTTCTTTGAGAAACATTAATTATTTCGTCCGTTTTCAAGGCGCAATTGGTTGTTGCTCGTGGCTTTCCTCTCATTTTTATGCATATTTTCATCCCAAATTCCTTTTCATCACGAGTTCATTTTATGTAACGAAGGGACAGAGTTTGAATTCATGATCTGTTCGAAATGTGTCGTGTGTGTATGCACATGATGTTAGTCTAGTAATCCTAAATATTTACCCGAAAATCCTAATAAGAATCATTTTAAGGGTCCTAAAATTGCTGACAATTCGTAGAAATGAGTAAAGTTCCGCGTGATACGCTCATTGAGTGTGTTGGTGAAGTGCTGAAGGCGTCGCAGGAGAAGAAGAGAAAATTCCGTGAGACCGTCGAACTAGAAGAGAAAATTCCGTGAGACCGTCGAACTGCAGATTGCTTTGAAAAATTACGATCCACAAAAAGATAAACGTTTCAGTGGATCCGTAAGGTATCATCATTCCATGCGAATTCAATGACTAGACCCTCACCCAGAGTCTTTAAATATTGGGAAGGATGTCAGTTTGTGACTGCATCCGAAGCCTTTTTAGATGAGGTTTTTGAAAATAATGTAAGTTATGATTTGATGATATCGAGGTATACATATTGTGAAGTAGTGAGTGATTGTGCGATGATGGCATACCATCTTTCGGGTCTGAATATGATGACAACCCTTCTTTACTGAGCACTCATTGACATCAAGATCATTGTCGATTGAATCATCAAAACTTGTCAAGAATGCAGCCTTACTAAATAAGTATTTAGGAAGTTGATGTATGATTTGCTATTTTCAGACTGAAGAATGTAGCAAGACCAAAAATGCGTGTTTGCATTTTGGGTGACCAGCAACATTGTGATGAGGCTAATGCCAATAGTATACCGTGTATGAATGCCGAAGATTTGAAGAAGTTGAACAAGAACAAGAAACTCATCAAAAAGTTGGCTAAGGTCATCATATTTCCAATTTCATTAATTCTTTTTTGAAACTCATTAACATTCCAGTTTTCAATCGGTGTTTGACTTCTTTCATCCATGATTTTTTGCACATGTATTTATCGATTGGTAGAAGTTTGTAAATATTTCAGAGTTATGATGCGTTCTTGGCCTCTGAAGCATTGATCAAGCAGATCCCTCGTATTCTGGGTCCTGGCTTGAATAAGGCTGGTAAATTCCCTACCGTGGTTGCACATTCTGAGCCTTTGGCTGGCAAGATTGAGGAGATTCGTTCGACAATCAAGTTTCAGATGAAGAAGGTACGTATCCGTTTTGAATGGTTCCAGTGAATTGAGTATTCATATATTCATAATAATAATTTTAAGTTGTTAAATGATTCGGTGAATAACTGTGCGATGATGGCATACCATCTTTCGGGTCTGAACGTGATGATACCCAATTTCTACTGAGCACGTTTTATTCACAGCTGTTGTCTTCTGTCATGAAGTTTGTGATGTCCTTCAGTGGTGAATAAGTGGAACATTTAAGGTATTGTGTCTGTCAGTGGCCGTCGGCCATGTGGAAATGTCGCAAGAAGAGTTGGTTTCAAACATCGCTCTATCAATCAATTTCTTGGTGTCGCTGTTGAAAAAGAGTTGGCAAAATGTGCGTTCACTGCATATCAAAAGCACGATGGGACCGCCGCAACGTCTCTATTAATTGGTTGTTTGGGTCGAGTATGATTACTTGATGATTATTGTTATAAAGAGTTAATGAAGGTAGTGCACATTGTCATGATATGTTGTAATTGGTGTGTTGTTTTGAATTGTGCTGTTGTTGTATTATTGCTGTTGAACTGTTAAATAAATTATATTCAAATGTTTTTAGTTGGGTTTGACAACTGCCATTATTAATAACATTTTAATTATTATAAGAATTTTTAGAAATAGACATAGTTGGTAACAGTGATCGTAGTTCTAGAAAGGTGACATGGGACATTCGATAGAAAAGTTGGACAGCGAGTTATTCCGGATCCGGAATAACTCGCTGTAGTGATGTCACTGAACCACGTTCTTGAGGACTGTTCTATTCTGTTTTTTTGTGCTGGAGAACAGCTATATTCTGTTCCAAACTGTTCCTTCCTCATTTGCGGACTGTTCTATTCTATTCCATGGAACAGAACGGTCTAACTGGAATAGAGACATCACTATTCTGGAGTTTTCAAGGGCGTACAGGGATGGGCTATTGTAGTTTCCTTGAGATTTTGGAGGCCATGAAGTTTTTTTTTTGCATTGATGAAATGAGCAAAGATACTCAAGTTGTTTGAATGAATATGTTTAGTATTCTGCAATTCCTATGAGGCGTTGAACTGGACGCTGGAAAATGTTGAAACTCTCGGGAGAAGTGCAGTTCGAGAATGCTTGGAGGAATGGGAAGTTGCATTTTCATCAGAAGGACTCAATCAATCTGAGCTCATCAGATATGAAGATAATTAAGCATGTTGACACGACGTGTTCGGGAGCAGTTACTCGAACACTGTAAAAATTTCCTCAAAATGCCTTGCACGACTTCGTCTCCAATCCAACCAAACTCATGCGAATGTTGTGATTTCTTATCATTTTGCGATGCATATTACCACTTTGAGTGGATTGTGTTTTTGAGGGCAGTGATGCAGAATAAGAACTATTTTTTAGCAATCAGCATATTAACACACATAATCAACACACATATTTTAGCAATCAGTATATTCCAATGGATCAAACGCATGCAATAGTTTTTACATCAGACCCATATCTCATCGAACCTATAATGAATGCAATTTGTGTGGTGTTAGAAGGTAGAATTTGAGGCCGATGAGGCAAATCTTGAGTGCTGTTCAATTTCAGTCGGTGGCATCAAAATTTGGTCTCCGGTGGCTACCGACAGAAATTCGTAAACCACTGAGCTAATTTCATTGAGAGGTGAATCTGACACATTCGCATTGGCGCAACTCAGTTTGCAATACAAATTTAACGAAACGAATTCATAAATTACAAATTCTATTCAAAAAATCACAACAAGTGTACTTATTCAGTTGGATGTATAATTCTTTAATGGTGGAGCAAATACAACGAATATTCAGTTCAGTTCGAATAAATCCATTTTCAAACTTTTTTTTTGCAAATTTGCAAATTTTTTCTTCATGACGTTTTATTCATTTTGCAAATTCCATTCCAATGAGCAATTCCAGTGAATCTTCAGTGGTACACAACCTCTGCGCCTGCACTGAAAAATCTGACACATTATTTGACTGCGTCGCGTACTTCACGATTCACCAATCGTGATATATCAGAACTGGCGAATTGTGAAGTGGTCGTATATTCTCAAATGATAGCTTGAATATTTTCGCGATTAGCATGTTGCGATTGAAATAAATTGATGATTCATTGCAAAGAAGAAAGATAGCAAAAGTACATAGCCAGATTTTGATGAAGAGGGTGTAGTGCTCAACACATGAATTTATTAAGGTGATCTGATGGTGAGATTGAAGAATAGAGCAATATTAGCATAACATAGGCGTGAACGGACGTTTACAACAAAGCCTAAAAAATAGATGGGCACATAACAGATATGTGATGGTGAAATTGAATAATCGATCAGAGTAGATGAATCGTTCTTCTCCATAACGCTTTGTTCGAATGCTTTTCTTTTTATCGTTACCAAAAATCTGATATTCTTATTATTAATAGTTTTATTATTGCTGTTATTTTTATTGGTATTATTTCGAGTAGAAAATATTGTTGATATTATTATTACTGCTATTATTGTTACTGGTATTATTAGTGTTGTTATTTTTATAATGATAGTTATTATTAATAATATGAGAATTATTATCATTACCATTTGTCACGATGAAGCACTAATCGCGAAAGTCCCATTCTCAAAACACAAACAAATAATACATAACTTTCCTTCCCAAAACAAAATCATATTCAAAATATTCAAAATTCAAAAATATTCTCAAACCAATATTCACATAACCAATACAAAATCAAAACATTCACCTATATATTCGTTTTCACTGCCTTACCTCAAATATCAATCTTCCACATTCTCTCAATCATAATGTTAAATTTATATCACAAAGATTCATTTACATCCACTACAGTCAGTCTGTTCAGCACATTTGCTCTCTAAATAACTTTATTTGCTTCACAAATCACTTTATCTACTCATCCTTAAATTATTGTTTTACTTATAGCCATTCGAATGGATGTTTCAATCGTACAATACGTTCGCGCGATTGTCATGGCTCATTGTTGTCAAAAGTTCAATTACCCTATTTTGAGGTCGGGAACAGATCCAATCCAAGCAGTTCACTGTATATGTTACAAGTTCAAACAATAACAAAACCAATTGATCAAGTCCAAATTGTACAGTCTATGACTGTCAATGTACCGACCTCAAACTAATACTCCTTGCAATCTTGTCATTATTCAATATTAAGTGTTATTGTGAGGTATCAACAAGTAATCGTCACAATCCAACTGGTGAGGAAATTCACCAAATCATTTCATCATCGCCGCCACGGTCCACAATATTCCTGTACATGACCCCCTCATTTCAAGCGGCTCGCAGTATTAAACCCAAACAACCCACGTCTTGACATGAACATAACCCTTGCAACTATTATTTGACTATAATAGCATGAAATTTAAATTAGTCCACACACTGTGATCCTGCATAAGGGTGCACTCCTTGATCAAGACCAATGATACATCTCTAATGTAAGCAAACCATCCCACTAAACAACTGCGATCAACCGTCAGCACACGTCTCATCAGTCAACATATCAGGAACGTTATTCCGTTCAATTAGTTATACATTGTAAATTGTGTCAAGTAAGATACCAATAAAAAATTTTTTTTTACGACCTGGTTCATCAGAGCTGTTTCTCAGTCATTCATTTACATGAATATCGATATAATCAAAGATCATAAAATCAACCAAAATCTAATCCTTCTTGAAAGCATATTGCTTATTTAAATTTCATTATCCATATTTCTTTCATATTCATTATTCACATTGCTTCATTCGTAATTCTTAATGTATATTTCATTTTTAATGCATATTTCTACAATTTATATTATTTATCTCGTCAATATTTGCTATTGTAGTCAAATAATAGGTAACACCATTTAACTCCATCCAGTGAGTTGTTTTCATGAGATCGCCAATTGATCACTAACAATAAGGTTATTGTTAGGTATTCTTAAGGAGAAAATATAGGAATCTGCTTAAAGGAAATGCGTATAAGTAAGAGATATTATTTGTCCTTGTTCTTCATGTCTTCATCTCGAGAACACATCGTACTGTTAGTTGCCCGGCAGTGCTCGTTTGAGTACACTGTATCTCTAGGGATCAATGCATTCATTAGCGCGGCAGTATGAAGGTTGCCATTTTCAAACTTAATCTGTTCTCAGATTTGCCCAGAAACATTATCATTTGTTCACAACATTGCATTTTGCAGATTCTCCAGTTTCGAAAAGTGTATATGTTGTGAGACGATTTTGCTTATGTTGAAAGAAGGAGATTATTTTCTGAATATATCTCACGTAGGTCGGCAGCACTCATTTGGATACACTGTCGATCAGTCTCTACAATACTTTTGCAGTATCGGGATCACCACCTTCAGTCTAAAGCTGCTTTCAGGGTCGCTCAGAACCTTGTTTTAAAAATGTTCGAGAAGATTTTAAAGTGATAGAATAAATTAGTAAGAATTTTAATAGTATGACTGACACAAAATTGTTTACGCAATGAACCATTAGATCTAAGATCTAGAATGGCCACTTATCCCGCAGAGGATCATTGTTGAAGTGTTCAGAGGCATAGTCTGATGAGATAAAAGTGATTGACAAAATTTCGCCAATCCGAGGAAATGAGATCAATGGGCGGTGCTGATGACGATTGGTAATAAAGAAGTGTGAAAGGAAATTATAAGATCGAGGAGTTTTTATTTTCGTGGAGATTGATTGAAATCATGCAGACGCATGACCGTCTAACATCTTATGTTCCCCACGTTTATTTTTTAACGATTTTTTTCAATAACTCTCTTACAAAGTTATCAGTTTTGAATTATTATATTTGCGACGATTGACACGTTTGTTCGTTGTGACAACATTGATACGATAATTGGTGATGATTGTTTTTAGTTTATTTATATCGTTGGTTTAGTTACTCAAATTTGAGGATAACTGTATAAAAACGTTAAATAACAGTTCGAGCCGGCCGTCACAAAAATATGGGCAGAATTCGAGTTAGATCAGACAATTACGCTTATTCTTCAATATAATAATATGTGAATTCCATATTTTTCCTCATATAGAAGTTTAGTAGAATTCGGATTAATTTAGATAGATTGGTTTTTTTCTTTAACATGATAATTGTCACATACTAGCGAGTTTTGTATTCTTACAGTTTTATCTATTTTTTTGCATACGGATTGATTCTAAATGTAAATATGTATCGCATTACTGATACGTTGAATGTCGTCGTTCATAATATTTCTCAAAGAAATCTTTAATAATATTTCTTGTATAAAATAATAATTATTTATAACCAATCTCTTATTCCGCTTCTCAGGTTGAATGCAAGATAAAAGAAGAACTTTTTATGCAGGATCATGTCTATATCGTATCGTCATTTGCAATTTTAAGATACTCTTATTTGCAACGTCTATTTTTATAATCTGTCGTGAATATTGATATTCACGAAAAATTTGTGATTTACCTTCGTTGTGTAATATTAATTCTTTATCAAATCATTATATTTTATTTATGAATATATCTAAACATATTGCACTTTATAATATACACCACGTCATTCTCATAACATCATCTCACCTTATCACACCTTAATCGCACTTATATTTTTGATGCATAATTCTGTTCTGTTCATTGTTGATGTATGTATCAGTAAATACTACGTACTTATAAACGATCTGTTCAACCACGATAGAAGTAAAAGCCCCTTCCACTATATAATCCTTAAAAAATCTCTTTCTAACATTCTCTCGATTCATTCAACCTACATGACAAGAATCCTCCTTCTATCTCCTGTTACGTCTACATAATGTCATCGTACACCAAACCTTTTCATTTTAATATCACATTCTATCCTCATCATTATTGGTGTTATTAGTGTTGAGAAAACTCTGTCCACACAAACTCCGTTCTCCTCGTGTTAGTGTTGTGGAGAAAACTCCGTTCCCAACAAACACTAATAACACAGTGTTTGTGCTCAACCTCTGTGCCTTCCATCAGTTATTGTCCAGTTACTGTTATTATTATTATTATTGTCGTTAACGTTCCTATTATCTTAACTTCGCCCCATCTTCTGCCGTTATTGGCATTATTTTCATTCGTGTCATAAACTTTATTACGTTTTCATTCGACAGTAATGAAGTGTAGAGAGAGTGATATTCTTCGATGAAGTGTAGAATGTGCAATATTTTTCCCGTTTACGCGAATTATACTTCACCATTTCAGGATATGTCTAGTTTAATTCAGTTCATATGTGATACATATGAATGGGAAATGAATAAGATCCAGAGATAGATATCCCGACACAGTGGTCGTGGCACTGATTAGAATGAGGATGGAAACCTTTAAAGGGTTTTTGGCAAGAGGAGACTCTCTAGTCCCCTCTTGTGGCTTAAGTGAAAACACACGGTGCATTCAAGTCGAGAACATCAGGAAAGGTTCTGGTGGCTCATAGGTTTTTAGGGACGTGTGCATTTGCCAGGTTGTTGTGAGTTAGTTTGCTGANAAGCCCCTTTAAAGGGTTCTTGGCTATATTTTCCCTCTCCAACGGGTTCTTTTCATTTTATTTATGTTTAGAGTCTGCCTTCTATTTGGAGTGTCGCGTATACGCCTAACTCATATCAATTAATTAAATTATAGTAAATTAGTTTTGTTTCAATGAATCGATCATGTAAAAGGCTTCAGTCAAGAATTCGGTTTATGACCAAGTTTCTTAGGCGGGCCGTGTGGCCTTTCCGGGAATGAGTGTGGCTGACGCCAAAGGTGCGATATTTTAATGCGTTGCGCATTTGCGCTATTCAGTTGAAGAGACTGATTCGATCTACGATCCTCTACATGCTAAACAGATAGTATAGTCTAAATCTTAGTCAGCCAACAACTATTGTGCCAGAACCTCACGGCACTCACGCCGCCCGCCTGTTTGCCGTCTGAAAATTCAACGTCATGGACCGCTTGCTATCCTGCGGACTACCGCTAGAATCGATCGACCGTTGTTGATCTCTAATGGATCACTTCTCGATAGTGTTCATGTTGCTGGACCGCTGGCATATATTTCAACATCAGGATATGATGATGAACGAGCAGTGACTGGTGCTCGACTCGGTGCCTACGTACCATCAAATGTCCATATTTTAGCGCACGACTCCAGATTTGTGTGCTTATCTGGCCCTGCGACGGCTTGGGACTTCAAAACAGCGGTTCCAGCTGTTAATAATATTTTGCAATTGGGTGATGTTTCCAAGTGGGACGGATTTGTGAGGCCACCTGTTCATTACTACAATCGTGGGGCATCATTTTGGGCCCGCGGTTGGCTAATGGTGTTTGCACTCGCTCAACGGATACTAATCATCGAAAACTTGGATAGTAGAGTGTATTCTACACCTATCATCGTTAATAAGTATTCCATAATGAATCTTATTCAATGTGGACTTGTGATACACCACATATACTGGTAGCAGCGAGTGGCTGCTGTTCAACGAATATCAAATAATTGAAGTGGTTGGTTATTTAGTGGTTATTTGTTTACTGGTTATTTAGTAGTTCTTCAACTCTTCACTCCTGTCAGAGATATGAATGGTTGTAAATATGAGGATGGCATCATTAGAATTACCTCTCCCAGTAGAGGATGTACCAATTATAGTGCTGCATATGGAAGCGGCTGACGATAAGAATTTCCTGATGTCACGATACAACGACCTCCAGGAATTCGCAGCCAAAACCATCATGCTGAAACTACTGGCGAAGTTGCCACCAGAAGATATAGTCGTGCTTTGTTTTCACACGGCTACGCGCGATGCCCTGAGAAAGGCCTTGGAGGAAGCCCAAGTCCGAGTGCATACGATTGACGGCTTCCAAGGGAAAGAGGCCCCGATCGTGATATTGGC